AAATGAAATGATTCTTACTAACCTGCTGCTTCTTCCATAGAGCCAGATTTGGTTCCCTAGCTGCAGTGGTATTTTGAGTGATGTTTTAATTTAAGTCCCTGCCTTCATGTGCTGGTCTGTTGTCTTCAGTGTGTTGCTATAGCTAATGTGGAGCTGCTGCCAAAAGCAGTAACTTGGGATTTCTTCCTTCTCCGCCGGTAACATTTGCGTAGTATATGGATGATTGCTTTTCTGTGTTTTCCTGATTATGCAAGTTGTCAGTGGAGTTGAGAAAGTGCAAGAAAACATGCAAGTAAGTTGACATTGTATGACTTATGTTATATTATTATATTTTCTGTGGGGTCACATCTTACACTGGCAGCCATACATTGTCTGTCGTGCAGCTAACAGAACTGTGAAAAACTCCAAGCCCTTTCTATATCCTCAGCCGCCTTGAGTACCAGCTTGAAATTAAGATTTCTAGGTTGAAACTGTTGATGCCAAACTACACATGTGTCTAAGCTACTCTTGTTATTACACATGTACCAGCTACACATACTAATACTGAGAAATATATTTTACACTTGAAATAACAATTCACCTGTTATTTCCTGAAACTGAAATCTATTTTGTAGGTCAAGTTAGGGAATCTTAGCCCTGGGTTACAATTCAGCCCTTCAGGGCTCCCCAGATAGCCACATTCTCTTCTATTGGCCCACTCATTTCCTCCAACCATTGGTGATTTTGTAGTTTTCTGGCTTTTATGTGGTTCTTTCACAATCTGCAAGGTTGAAATGTACTCTCAAAGCTTGATTCTGTTTGATTTCTGCCAGTAAGCGCTTCAAGGTATATATGCTGATATATTTGGCCCCACTCCTTTTGCCTTTAGAACCGTCTTCCACTGGAATGTGTCCTCTGAGAGTGTCTCTAGAAGCTTCTCCAAGATTGAATTTGGGTGCTAGGCTGAAAGATATGCCACCTGTTGTATGCCTTGGAAAGCCCTAATTTTGGAGTGTAAAATATATATTTTTAAACTTTGTAACTAATTTTTCTACTTTAATTTCTGAACCAGTTTCTTATATTTTGACTTTATTTCTAAAGATTTCCTCCTTTATTTTGACTTGGTTCACATTTAAAGCTAACCCATGGTTTTGTTTACTTGTGGTTTGTTGCATTTCCCAGGATATGTTCAGCAGATGATCAAACTCTAGTTTGCTTTTTTCAATCCCTGGATTGTTAGCTTCCCTCTCCCTTCTCCCACTCCATCCATGCATTTTGAATGCCTTTGTGGCACTTTGAAATTGGCCTGCAGAGAGACTGTTGCTCTTCTTGTTTGTATGTATGTATGTATTTGGTTTTGTTTTGTTTTTTTTTACTACTCACATCCTTCTCTGTAGCATGGTGAAACAAGGCACTCTTGAGTTCACATGTGGCATGGTTTACATACTGTGGAATTGGCAACCCAACAACCAACTATGGCTTCTCTTTCTGTGTTGTTCATCATTATCAACAATGGCTTTTCAGTGCAGCTGAGTTTACAAATCAGGTCAGCCCAAAATACAGAATAGCATTTTGTGCTAACCAGATCTTTTTTTCCAGTGGCAGTTACATTGGTTACATTTTGCTGAAAGAGGATGAAGGAATTGGAGGAAGATGCAGTATTTTACAGCACTGCGTTTTACAGTCTTCCTTCTTGAGAAAACATAGTTAATCTTGTCTGTTACTGGTAATTTTCCAGAAGTGTTTATTTTTTATCTGTTTTCCTTTTCATCATAAATTACCATGATTGTTTGGATACTGATTTTTAGCAGAAGTTATAATTCTTTTTAAAAAATCAAGTAAGCAAAAGATACTGAAAGTTCAAAGCATTCCTTGCAGACTTTTCTGTTGGTATGAGAACAACTTTGGTGTAGGAAGTTCACAGCAAAAAGTCTTAACACAGTTCAATTCTTTGTGTCAGTGCTGATCAGAATATTGGGTGAACGAAGTACAATGAGTCAATATGACAGCTATTTATTACAACTTAATTAGGATAACTGACCTTCCTTGGCTTGTTTCTTGTGTTTTTAGCTCCTCCTCAGACCATTCTACATATAAGTGGGGCAACCTGATCAATGCTGCCTTTATGCTTTTTTACTCATGGCTGCCAGCAAGAATTAACTTTTTACCGAAGTGCTATTGCCACTGGAAGGACAAAACACCTGTTTTGCACATAATGCTAAATCTTGAGTTATTTAATGCATGAATTCTGTATAAGACATGAATAGTATAAATATTCAGTGAAACCAAGTGGGTAGAGGTTTTCAAATGTTCCTGGAGCATTCTGGAATCAAATTGAAAGGTACTTTGCTCCATGTTGCCCCAGGTACACACTGCAGGGGTATTAGCATCCTGTCCTAGTCCATGGCAGAGCTAAAGAACACTGGTATCAATCTTTTGAGCCCCCTTCTCTTCCACTGCTTGTCAGGGAGATATTTCATGCAAGTTCCACATAGAAGAATGTCTGTGATAAATTTAATTCTACCAATTCCTAACTATGATAAGTCTTCCAGGTTATCCTGTTTGGAAAGATTAAAGATATCCTGTGCCTGTTGGTTACTGAAGTGGATTCTATTTGGAAAGCTGGTGTGGTGTAATGGCTAGTCTAGGAACCAGGGCAGTGTGGGTTCAAATCCTCACTCAGCAATGAAGATGACTGCCTCTTAACAATGATTGGCTCAATCCAGTAACTGCTGAGAGGCAACCCAGTCGCTGCCTTATGAATGTGCATGTGTGTGCAGTGGGAGCATATGCTGCCTCAAACTTTTTGGAAGAAAGTTTTAATATAAATTTAGTGCAATAAAAATCAGGATTTCATTTGGATTTTTGGGTAATCTGGGATTCACGTAATTTAGAAAATGCAACATATGCTCAAAGTATGCATCTCAAGACCAATCAGAATAAGTCAAAGCTACTTGTAAATATAAAGAAAAATGTAAAGAAAGATTGTGGTGTAAACTGCTTTGTGGATCTTGGTTACAAAAGTTAGCATAAAAATACCAAGTGTAAAGGAATTCCATATTTTTAATAATCAAGTAGAATTTAATCATGGTTAGTTGATGCATGTGTTGCTTTATCATCTTTTAATTTCTGTTATTGTGCTGAATAATCTCATGGAGATCCAACTAATTTATGAGATTATAATCTGATGGTTGATTAGAGGGGATAATCAGTTGAACTTCATTGAACTGGAAATTTGTTTTATTATTGTCAAAATTTTATGATTTGTTTAAATAATTTTGCATTTTCCCTTCTTGAATAGCATTTGACTGGTCATTCCAATTTTTGGAATTAGTTACAGATCAAGGCATTTACTGCTTAAATCACTTTCTCTCATTAGTCCCTTTCCTGCATCATGCAGTTGCATTTCTTGCATAACTCCATTGTGGTATTCCAGTGTTTACACACTGGAAAGAACAAATAAGAGGAAAGTGAAAAAGAAGGAGATGCAATACTGAACAGTATTCTTAATGTTCTAAACCTCTAATGGTACTAGTACTTAACGATAGTCCCTAAAATTGATTGGTAGTGACTGGAGACTCATGTTTATTGCACTATTACCTTCTTATGTAACACCAACAGGTCTGCTTTTACTTCTGTTAGGCCCTTAATGCTAATCGTTTGGCTGTTTAGCTGCACTTTTAAAAGAAGCCTCTTTTTAAAAGAAGCTTGAGTATTGTGTTATTCTAGGTTATGTTCTGATAAACCTTTTTGCCAGAGTTTGATCAGCATACTTCAGGAGTATCTAACCCTTTGGTGCGAATGAGAACATTGGAATGTTCAGGGAATGTTATGGGCACTTGCACAAACCAGCTGCCCCGGGCAGGGGTGAGTGATGGTACTTACATACACATGTGTGTGATACTAATAATACATGCACACATACATGCATCCCCCTCCACATAATGTTGCTTCCCCAACTCAGGCAAAACATTAACATATGTACACACTGTGCATAAAAAAGCTAAACACACTTTTTTTAAGGCAACACACAAGAGCAGAGGGAAAACTTCGCTCCTCGCTCCTCACCACCCACACAAGCTTTCCTGCCCAAATACTTCCTACAATCCCACAGTTTACCTTTCTTTTATGGGGGCAGCTAGGCCGCTTCTGAACAAAACAGTGGGCTACAGCCTCCTACTGTTTTATTTTCTAAGAATGCCTCCAAGACAGCTCTTGGAAATAACATTGATACTTGAAGTTAATGCTTTATTTTGCATCATGCCAGCATTCCAGTTTAAACAGCAGGAATAGGAAGCTTGGAAGGCACCAGGGGAGTTCTTTACAGACAATATGTTAGTGATCTCATGTGTAAGTTATCAGATTACCAACCTCAGTCCAAAAAAATGTTATCAAACAGCAAATAACATAATCCATATGATTAAGGCTCAAGGGATTGCCAGCAATATCTATTTCATTTTGGAAAACCTTTGGGGACTTCAGTCACCATCCACATTACTTAAATTCCAAATTCATTATAATTCCTGAGTGTGTGTGTGTTTTTAGTGAGCACATCTATACTTTGCTTCTTATCTTAGAAAAACTTAATATGTAATTCTAAGCAGCCTGTCTGGATTATTTTAGTTCTGAGTCGGATGCTTATCACTAGTAAAATTGTTTTCATATACTGTTGCACATTATGTCACAAAAACAATGAAAGGAAAAATCATTTATGTTTCATGAAAACAAGATGAAATGAAATTGCGGAAACTTTTTCCTTCATCAGGAGCTGCCTATTTTTCTAGAAATGTTGAGAAAAGCCTTCTTCCAGTATCCTTTCTGTGTTAAAAAGCATGGAAAAATCTATTTTAATGCAGACTAATGATACTGGAAAGATGTCTTATTTGTAATTGCATTAAGCCTACTTAAACTCAATTTTACATTGTAAGTTCTTATTTTATGGCAGGTATTGCAATTATCAAAATGTTGAAAGTTATCCAAGGTGGCCCCCAAGCAAAATTTTCACTCTTTTAATCTTCCAGATAACTCCATTGCCATGTCATACTGCAAGACCCTTCTCATGTAAAAGAGTTTGTGGAAGACTGCTTGATTGTCAGAATCATACTTGCATGAAAGAGTGTCATAAAATTACTGAAACAGATAATGACAATGATGTCCAAAAGGTAAGACTAATCTTTTCCAGAGCAGATTAAAAACACTTTGCTCTTATTTTATTGTCCAGATTAAATTATAAGCAGCGCTCGCGCGCGCGCGCGCGCGCGCGCGCTCGCTCTCTCTCTCTCTCTCTCTCTCTCTCTCTCTCTCTCTCTCTCTGTGTGTGTGTGTGTGTGTGTGTGTGTGTGTGTGTAATGTTGTAAGAAACTTTATAAAATACAAAATTTTTCAGAGTGACATATGGTGTCTCATTTAGCAGGGAGGAACAACCTTTTCATCCAAATACATATGTAGTGTCTGTTAGGGAGGGCAGTAGCTTCACATCATGTTCTTGTAGATGCACATGTGTTTGCTCTTCCTTCCCATAGTGCACACATGCACTTTCACTTGAACACCGTCCCTCTGTCTCAACCAGCCTATCATTTTTCACTCACTTCTTGACAGTCCTGGGACATTCTTATTGCTGACAGCTACAGACTCATACTGAGAGATTCTCTTGAGTACTAGACCTTAAGAGTGTCCTCCTGCACACAGTGATTGGCATCCTTGGGGTGAACGTCCGACTCAATTGGTGGTAATTTTGGTGGTGTGGGTATTCTGTGGTGTGTGTGAATAGCACTATGTGGAGCTCCCTGTGGATCACAGCTTCTGCACCCTGTCATAGTTTAAAGGTTTACTCAGAAATAATACATATCAGTCTCCATGAGTTTTCCTTAAACTTCCTCCTGGTGTTGGACTACTTCACTCACAACCTGTAAGGCCAACATATCTGGACAGGACTGGGCTAGGGCATGATGAGTTGTGTTCTTGCTGGAAGTTCCTGGTAAATTTGAATGGCAAGAGTACACATTTGTATCTCTTCAGTTAATGACTCCAGAATCAAGGGATGTGTGTGACTGTGTGTAAAAGCAACCACACAGAAGAAAGAATAATGTGAGACACCACATATTTGCTGTGCTTTTAATATTGAGTGATTAATGTGGATAGTTCAATACGATGACTGTTTGGTTTCTGTCTGTCTGTCTGTCTGTCTTTCTTGTTTATCTATTTCAGTGTTTTGAGCAAAGTAAGCATTTTAAACAAAGCATTTTCAATTGTGTTGAAACACAATTAACGGTCTTGTGTTGAAACCACTCAAGAATTATATTCAAGTTAAGGGGAAGAACTGGCCAGATATTTGGCAAGCCTTGCTTAGCAATAAAAGCCAACTTCAGTCTCACTTTCTTTATGTAGAATGCATCTCTAAATAACTGTCATTCCCTAATGAGATTTTTAAAAACCATTTAAAACACTTGTAGAAATGGTACTTGTTTCCTGGACAGTGTGCTAAAGTAGACTACAATTATCCCATTGAAATAATTGTAAACCTAGTTACAGTAGATACAAATAAAGATATTTAACCTTTAAAATGTCCTCTGTCCATAATTCTTGAGGGTAGGGTGTAAAAGCCATACAACCATCCTGCTATGTACTTTTTTCCATCATTTGTAGGACAGATTCCAGCCCTGAAAGTTTGCTAGTTATTTAGAAGCGATACGAAAATCAGAAGTTCATCTGAAATGTGTGTTTCATACCTCTTAACAATGTGTACCTTTTGGCAGAAGCTAAAAATGGAAAGCATTCTAAAATAGTGATTTTTGTGTATGAGCTACTCACATCTAATATATTTTGGACTGTAGCATCTTCGTGACTCAAATTAATGTTTGTTCAGAGCTTTACAGGTGAAAAGCAATAAAGAAGTGCTTGCTTTTAGCAGAGTTGCTGAACAGTTTTGTCTGTCTTAACCTTTGGAATTAAACTTTCCTTGCTTGGTCTCCAGCTCGTTTCCTAATTATCCTTTTGTAATTTGGTGTAGGCTAGTTCAGCTATTTCTCCATTTAAAAAAAACCAAGAAAGACATACAACAAAATATTGCAATTTAGGCAAGAAGTTACTTCCTTCAGGTTTTTTTTAAAGAAATCTTTGAGGTTTCTTCAAGCGTGCTCATATCTCCCTCTCGTTTCTCAGTGGCCCTGTTTGGCTACAATCGTGTTGGTACTCACCACCTGAGTTCATTGTTAGAAATAATAATTGTGCTCATCATTAACTTATAGTTAATTTCTTTAATTTTTTATACTTACCATTCTCCAAAAGCTTCAGGATAGTGTACATGGGGTTATAACACCTTATCCTCACAGGAAGAGAGTGATTTGGCCAAGGTCATCTAATGACTGTAAAAGGTGTGGAAGGATTTGAATTCTGGTCTCCTTAGTCTAAGTGCAAAATTTTATCCACTATACTGTCTTAGTTCCATAGCTTATTCAGGAATTGTTAAATTTGTGTTCCTGCTGCTATATCACCTGGCCTATTTGTCTGTGCTGGTGAGGCTAGGGTTATCCTATTTTAACCTCACAGACATGTTTTGTAGTGCCAGGATGCAGCTTTAGATGTTGCCAAAAAGTAGCACTGGTACAGTCTGTTCTTCGTTGTGGTCTCTGTGTGTCACGCCTGTGGGCTTTTCTATGGAGCACAAGGCCTAGATTGGAGAGAAACTTCAATAACTATGTCACGAAGTAGGCGGGAGCCCCTGCCCCGCCCCTTCCAGGCTCCAGGATAAGGGGGGTGGGTGCCCACTTCCTCAGCTGGCAAGCAGCACATGCTGGCAATTTTGGGAAAGAATCTTGCTATAGGGAAGTTGTCCAATCTATATTCCTGAGAAACATTCCTATGCAAGAGTCTTTTGAGACAGGTACTGCCTGATGACACCAAGAGAGCCCTGGCTGCTTATCTGTGGAATCTCTGAAGCTACTCTGTGTGCACACTAAGATGAGAAAATAGCACACTACCATTATGTGTAGTTTTTAAAATTCATCAGATGATGTGTCAAAATGGAATTTCAACTAGAACAAAGATGAAACTACATACTGCTATACTTAAGAAGCAAAATGCAGTCCTACAAAGTTCTTAGCTTGTGAGTTACCTTTTCTTTTAAACAGCTTACTAGGTTCATTAGTAACTGTGGTCAAAATGTTTAAACCAGTCTCATTGGGGGAGCATTTAGAGATTTCCATTAATGGGCTGCTTCAGATATTATTAGAGAAACTGGAGCTGCAATGAAATGTTGCCCCCAACATGAGTGCTCCTGTTTAGGTCACCCTGTGAAAGGAGCCTTGCAGTGCTGTTTAAGGGTTACAGTGGATATTTTTCTTCTCATTTCCTGTTGTGTTATGTAGCACTGAAGAGCTCAGGATAATGGCTGGCTGTCAAACCTAAGCCAGAGCATTTCTTTTAGTTACTTATAGCATTTATCTACTGCTTTGCATCTAAACAGGTTGCGGTTCAGTAGGAAGGCTTCCTGAAGTAAAGACATTTTCAGGAGGTGCTAGAAACATCACAGTGTTGGTGCCTGCCTAATCTTCAGAGGCAGGGAGTTCCAGGGGAGTGAAGCCACCACACTGAAGACCCTTATTGTTAAAAAATGTTTGCAAATTTAGATATGTGTGTGTAGCAAGCCTACACTGAATATGTAGAAACCTCTACGTGATTTTGGGGTAGCCTATTTTGTTTCAAACTGATGAGCAGTCAGTCACCTAAGTTCTCTGTTAGAGACAGGTAAACAGTTCTTTATTTGAGTATCTAAATGGGACTATTACATGTAATGTATTATTTAAGTATTGTGATGTGATATTGCCAACACAGGTAGTAAGATGTGTTATGTTTCTGTGCTCTTTAAAATGTTTTCAGTGGTTTGGAATCAATGGTTTATTCGATGGGCTTTCCCATATGCGCGCACACACTCACACAGACAGAAGGGAGAAGTGGGAAACCCAGTGTCTGAGCTGCTTCTGCCAATACAAGCTCTAGATCCAAGCCACTATTATTAGGTCAAAATTTAAGTACTGTTGTTTTTTAAGTTATTCTCTTTTGAGCTATGGCAAAGAACAAATCATTTGTGGCTTTTCCCAAATTATCAGGCAAGTCAAGAATGCTCTCAGTGTGAAGAAGAATGTTCCAAGCCACGGCCACCTGGATGCCCTCACCCATGTCCTCTGCCTTGCCATCCTGGAGAATGCGCACCATGTGCCCAAATGATCCGGATGAAATGTCACTGCAAACTCACAAGCCTTTATATTGAATGCATGTATGTAATTAAAGAAAACTCCACTTCAGCTTTGATAAACTGTAGTATTACTATTTATTTATTTTATATTTATACATGTATTTATAGGCTCCCTATTACTGCTGAGACCTTCCTAGGCAGCTTGCAGTACATAAACATATTAAAACAAAATAAAACACATTGACACCTATACAGGGTATAGAAACCTGCTTTGGGCTGGGGCTTCTCGCTCTGGTTGTACTGGGGATAGATACAGACACCCCCCCCCCCCACACACACACAGTTCCAGAAGATTTGTGCCCAGTCAGGGCTATCTGGCAAGATTTCTACCACTGTCTTGCCAAATGTAGGTTCTGTGCAATTAGAAACACGTGAAAGGGATTCTGGGACCAATATATTGGAATACAGGACTGAGGCCTCTGTTCCTTGGGTCTTGTTTGAAAAAATTTGCTCTAACTGATCAACACATTCTGTTGGAGGTGGAGAAAGTATTTGCCCCAGATCATGTTAGCAGAAGTAATGCATTGATGTGCCATCTTGAATTAGGAGGCTCTACATTTATCTTGCTCATGTCTTACTGGGATGTTGCTATTACTTCCCTGAGATACTTTATTGCACATACTGTTTTTGAAAAGTGTATAGAAGTTGATATAAGAATAATGTATGGCATAATGTATAATTCTGGACTAATGTCTGTTCTCCTGTTCAGTACTTAACAAGAGTGGCTTCCTAGTCAGAGCAATGAGCAGTATCAAACTCTAAACATTTACCAAGGCAAATTACGTTGCACTACTGTAAGGGTACAACACTTTCTAGTGCAATACTGGAAAACTCATTGTGCAGGTTAATGTTATTGGTACTGTACTTTGAGTTTCTTACCAAAGTCCAATGTAATTTTTATTACCAGAATGACATTTGTTAAATACTACCCAGTATTCACCAAAAACACTTGTTTACACTCTCAATATTTCCAGTGCTAGTTTGTCATAGTACTGCATACTTTTCTCTTGTAGCATATAGTATGGTGTGATATTATTTTAAGCTATATTCCACAGTCATAGTTCAGCTGTTATCTTTTCAGACTTGTCCCGTCCTTTTTCTGTGCATGGCTTTGCCTTTTGATTTCAATACAGAATTGCTTGTTGATAACTTTTAACGGTGTGGCCAAAATTCAGGAGTAAATTAACTTAGTGGTTATGAAAGCCTCTATAAAATGTCATCTTTTCTGTATTTGATCCTCAGAAAAGTTATCTGTGCTGATTTAAAGGAAAAAGATGAACTGAGTTCATGCAAAAATCAGTGCCCCAAAGAGGTAAGCTGTATGTGTGATTGAGCTATGTTTTACTTCAGCAATATATGTTCTACTCTTTAAAAATGCAGTTTCTCATTATTTTAATGTGTTAAGCACTGGCATGGCAGATGCCAAATTAGCATGGTATTTAAATGTGTATTCTTATTTGCATATGTATTTACAGTTCTCACTGTAAGGGACTCCGGTAGTGGATTTTTTGTTCTTGCTGTCAAAGAAGATGGAAGTGTGGCTTGAGAATTCTCTAAAAGCTAGGGCTAATGTACCACTAAAGTAGCACCAAAGATACATGTTCTTTTTCCGGTCACTGTGCCTCGCACGGAAGGGTCTGGCCTGATCAGGACACCCACTGGAACTTTATAGAGCCAAGATATTTCAGTGGGAACTCTGCTTACCCTGCTCTCACATTTGCCTTCTGTTTCTCTTCAGCTGTAACAACAGCGTCAGTGGTTTTTTTGGAGAATTTTCTATCTAAATCAGTGTAGATTCACTCTTCTTTTTCTCTCTCTTATTCTGAATGCCTTTTTACATGTGTTTGTCTTTATCTGCCTGTGTTTGCCTCTTTCACAGTCTTTATCAGCAGTAGCCCACAGCCATTTGGGGCCATTCTGTGAATTGGGCTAACTGCAGGAGCAAATTACTGCTCACTTTTGTGCACAACGTTTGCCTTTTCTATCTGGGCAATGGCTGTATCATCAAACCCAGTGCCTGTTGTCAGGGTTTCTGCAGTGAACTTGATGGAATCATTCCTCATGCCTTCATGTGGTATTAGGGAGCAGTTCGTATAGGTTGCAGACTTGGTAAAACAAGCAGGGGTCCCATCTGCCCTTGATTTCCCCTCAGCTGTCCCTGAAAATGGCTCTAACGCCTGCTTCAGCCCCAGCATTGACTTTGTTGGGTCCATCTGACTCTCAATTTCTACTCCAGTACCATTATCATCTTCCTGTGTACTGTTTCACCCAGCAGGTATCTGACTCACTGCTGGCCCAATTTGTTGTTAAAAAGGTATAGTCTAAATGTTCTACCTCTGATCAGACTATGGAAATCAAAAGAAGAAGAAGAATTTGCCAATAGGAAGTTTATCCACACCAATGCCATTTGCTCTTCTGCATGATAATAGAGCTGGCCAGCCATGAGGCAAGATCCTACTTTCACCACCACCTCCATTATTACTGTTGCTCATTCTGATGGTGAAGAAGTTGTCAAAAGAGTCTCCATTGGCTGCAGTGGAGACAAACTCTAATTGCAGGTTTGACTTTGAAGGATGAAATAAATGACTTTTCACCATCACCTGTCAAGCATGCTGAGCTTTTGAATTCTACAACCTTTCCCGGGCACCGTTACTCAGCTTTTGAATTCTACAGTGTGTGTGAATTCTACAAACTTTCCTGGGCACTGTTACTCAACAGATTCAAGAAAGAGTTCATCTGATTTGAACTACTCCATATATTCTGGTGATTCCCGCATGGCCAGGAGAGGATGGCTGCCCTTTTGGTGAGAACCTTACATGAATTGGTACTCTCACTTGAGGTACGGATGATCACTTCATGAAAAAGATTCCCTGTGAAGTTGATGCAGAAAATGTCCATGGTACTTCAAGTGATATCCTTTCCCTGAAAGAAGCTAGTTAGGCATAGGATCCTCAGACCACAAATGCTAGACAGAATCCACTAGAAACCCCAACACATTTGGAGTCCATCCCAAATGACGAGCAGTCTAATTCATCAGAATTGGAATGGTACAACCTTCAGCTTTTTCTCCAGACCAGGGAGTGGGTAACCGTTCCCTTCCATCCCCAACTGAGAAAGTCATCCCAACATAGATTATTGGCTTCACATGGCCTGGAAATCTAGTTATGGACTTTAGAAGCAAATGAAGAGCCATGCTATATCAGACCCATGGTCCATTCAGTTCCTCTAGCTTGCTCTTTCACCATTCTCTTCAAAATACGACTTTTTTAAAAAAAAAGCTGCTTAGGACTCAAAACAAGACAATAAAACAACAAAAACCTTTGCAGCTTTTGCTGTTTGTTGGCTCTTCCCCCTCCCTCCTATAGGCAAATGGCATGTTATTCATTGACGTTGGTCGGCCCAGCACTGGCCACTTAAATTGGTTGCAGTGCAGTTGCAGTACAGAGTGTCCAGGAGCACTGTCCATTAAAATCCTTGGAGGCAGTGCCAACTTCTGCTTCTGAAAGAGTCCCTGGGCACCCTCAGAATGATCTACACATGGGTACTCAGTGCCCACACACAGTACAGAACTTGGAAAGATGAAGCCTGAAGAAAAGAAGGTCAGCTGCAGCCAACATAACTCAGCAATGTCACACAAGAAAGTGGAGAGATAAAGAATAAAATGCAATATGTGGAGGGGCACAACCTGAATGCTGAGTACTGTACCTATGAAAGAGGAAGAAAAATTTCTTCTTATCCACTTTTTCCATGCGTAATTTTGTACACCTCTCTCATGTCTCCTTTTACTCAACTTTTTAAAATCTAAACAATCCCAGATGTTGTAAGCATTTCTCCTATGGGAATTGTTCCAGCCCCTTAATCATTTTAATTTCCTTTTTTGCTCTTTTTCCAAATTTGCAATGCCTTTTTTTAGGTGCAGTTACCGGAACTGTACAGAGCATTCTAAGTCTGGTCACTCCATAGATTTGTGTCAGGGCAATCTGATCTTGGCTATTTAATTTTCAGTTCCTTTCCTAATTATGCCTAACATGGAATTTGACTTTTTCATAGCAGTCTCAAACTAGGTTGAAGTTTTCAACAAGCTGACTATCATGGTTTGGAGTTATCACTGTGGTGCTTTTAAAAGAACAGAGGGGAAAGGTGGGTGTGCAACCCCATAGACATATGTGGAAAGGTGGTAGGTGGGCTTCTCAGCTCTAGAAAGTTCCAACAGAGGCCCTGCAGTTAAAGGACTACAGTTACAGGTAAGTAGCCAGTAACCTGTGTGACATGGTTGGTCAGACTGTTGGACCAGGGCTTGGGAGAACTGGGTTCTAGTCCCCACTCAGCTGTGAAGCTCACTGGGTGACTTCAGTCTGGTCACTGACTCTTGCCTAACCTCCTTCATAGAGTGGTTATTGAATGGATAAAATGGAGTGGAAGAGGAAAATGGAAGCCTTCTTAGGTTCCTCACAAGAAGCAAAAATGCAGGATATACATGTCATATGCTAGCAATACCATTCACTTTTAAATACTATCACTACCAGTACTTTTGGGGGGCTTTACATAGAAAGGAATAGGTGATGTGGCAGTGTAATGCTTTGAACTAGGAAAGAAATTTGAGATCACACCTACCCCTTGAGTAGCCCAGGAACACTCCTCCATGCACTGAAGAAGGATCCATCATGGTACAAAGGCCTACTAAAATTCCCAAAGGCATCAAGTTTCTAAGCTCACAAGCCTTGCAGAAAAGAAATTGCTTCAACAGCACCAACAGGACATAATGAAGAATTTCACAGAAATTTGCATCGCCTTCCCCTAAAAACAAAACTGGCTGAACCTGGCAGTGAAATCAGCAGAGGTTATATAAGCATTGCACATGCAATAGACTTGGATTGAAACTCAGTTAAAAAAAGAGTCATTATCAACACCAGAGATTTTCAAATGAAAATGCAAATCTGACTATCTGAATCACAGCTCTTGTGAAAAACAAAGGAGAAGACCTGCTCCCATTTATAGCAAGCTGGAATCCAGAAAAAAAGTTCTGGTGTTACCCTTAGCAAAGCAGCAACTCAAAAGAGCTAACAGAGTGTTAGGTCTACTTAAGTGGAAAAAAAGCATGATGCAGTGAAACATAATTGTAAGCCTAAATAGATACCCACAGAAGAAGGAATTTTTTTTTGCATTGTTAGCATCCTGCACATTTTGGAAGAAGAAAGGGCTGAAGATGCAGATCTTCCAAGGTCTAAGCCAGGCCCCTCTCTTGAAATGTTCCATGCAAAAACTGATCATTCGAAGTGGGGATTTCATTCACTTGAGGATATCCATTTTAAGTATAGGAAGAAGAATACAGGGATCTAAATTTGTCTTGATGTGGAACAGTCAGTGCACAAAGAAGAGACTGGTGCATGGAAAGCATACCCTAGAAGGGAACTTACCAAGGATTTCCATTTTGATTTGCCAACATGTATGTATAAAATACAATAGAATATAAAATATTTGTGTAGATAGATAAAACATTATGAACTTATATCCCAAAATGCTTCACATTGCCTGTTAGTGTTATCATACATAAATACAAGCAAAAAAGCAGAATTGAATGTATTACCTCTTTGTTCATTGTATAGCTTAAACGTAATTTTAAACAAGGCCTCATAATAATGGAAGGAGGTAGGACTAAGGACTTCAGTCTACAGTTGGACAGAAGTACAATAGTCACCCTGCAGAATTGCATCTTTGCACCCTAGTATAGCATTTAAGCACTAGACATGTTAATATTGAAAAAACTAAAGGAGAGTATTAAATAATATGTTGATTTCACTTGGGTGAAAATATTGTATAAATTGTTTTAACTATGTTTTGATTTTTCTATTTATTGATTGTTCTAATCTGTGACCATAAAATAAAAACAACTACTATGATTACTACTACTTTGATTTAAGCTTTATTTATTTCATTTTTATACCACCGGGTAGTGGAGACTCTCTGAGTGGCTAACAAAAGTTAAAATTAATCATTTAAAAACACTAAAAGAATAAAACCATAATAGCAATTGCTCTATTCAGCACAGAAGCATATAATCCCCAATATATCAGGCAAATTATAGGATGCAGTGAAGGCTGTGGTTCAAGGTGTCTATATTAGTGAAACCCCTAGCCAAAAGAGAGAGAAATATTTTGAAGATAATAAAAGTGATTTTCAAATTAGGAAAAAAAAACCCCATAAAAGAACAGGAAATTGTAAAATGTACAGGCATTTAGCATCTGTGGTCTGTTATGGTCAGTCTGTTGCTGTTGATTGTTATGCATTTGAAATAAGAGTAGAGAATGAATC